GGCTTTTTTCTTTTTGCTTATGTGGTGCTGAGGAATCGAACTCAGGGCCTTGAGCATGCAAGGCAAGCGCTCTACCACTGAGCCACCTTCCCAGCCCATCTAGTTCAGTTTTTTTTAGGATAGTTCCAGCCACCTCTCAAGACCTCAAAATCGAAAGAAGTTTCATCATAAAATTAAGAATCATGTGGGATGCAGCTAGCCTGTTTGGGTAAGGCTGAAGATATATTAGTAAAGAAAGCTGTTCTATTTTCTTTATTTTCTTCTAACAGAGTTTAGAATCGGGCCAGGTGCTCAAATATAAAATACACAGATATTGGGGGAAGAATTGTTCAGGCAGGGGACTTTTTGAGTACAGCAAAATTATCTTCTTAGAGAACAAGTTATCTTAACGCATGACATTATGTTCACATAATGAGGCTACTGCACGTGAGAAGGTGGCTACACCACCTGTAAAAGGATGCTCTACAGTGTTCTATAAAAACAAGAATCGTTTAAGGACAAGTGTCTCAGAATGTATTCTCTCATTATAATACATCACTGATTACTTTTAACTAGCAGCCTTCAAATGGTTACAGGAAGACAATATCAAGTTATATTTTCCTCTGCAATATAACAATTCCTATGGAAAAGGAGTTAACACAATAGAACCATGAGTGTTTATGGTTTTTGGGGTTTTTTTTGTTTTGTTTTTTCTCAGTAGCCACTGATAACAGTTAGAAATGTAAGATTTAAAGTTGAGAGTCTAGGGCTGGGAATGTAGCTTAGTAGTAGAGGGCTTGCCTAGCAGCAGGAAGCCCTGGGTTCAATTCCTCAGTGCCACATAAACAGTAAACACCAGAAGTGGTGCTGTGGCTCAAGTGGTAGAGTGCTAGCTTTGAGCTAAAGAAGCTCAGGGACATGCCCAGGCTCTGAGTTCAAGCCCCAGGACAGGCAAGAAAAATGAAAGAAAAGAAAAGAAAGAGAGGAAAGAAAGGAGAAGTTGAGAGTCTAAATTGAAAAAAGATGTCAAATTATTCTTTCAAAACTAACAACCCCTCAAAGACTATGATGGACACCCACTCTGCCACATGTCATCAGAATTACCATTTATGTTAAGAGATCAGATAGCTATTTATCCAAAGTGTGAAAGCTCCCCATCCTTATCACACACATGAGTTTTAGGGAGGAAATTTTTCAAGCAGATCATTCATTACAACATAGAAAGGATAAGGTGTTATTGACCTGAAAATCCAGAATCCTTATCTGACTCGGCAGCTACCGTGCCGACCTGCCGAGATACTTTTTTCATCTCTGTGCCCCTGGCTAACTTGGCTGAGAGTCTTCTGGGGCTCTCTCTGGACGGGATTTTCCTCTCCATGTTTTACTGGACTGGAAGCACGTTCACTGATAGGCTTTTCATCTGGTTGCCCTATGAAAAACAACAGTTACATAAGAAGTCATTGCCTGGAGAGCTGAAACAGGTGATCCAAATGGTGCATAAGGTGAGGGCAAAGAGCACTGGCCTCGCCCACTTCAGCTATATTTTCTCATCTGTCTCATTGACAAAAGCTAGGAGTTTACGAAAGAGAATGGTTTCTATCTGAAAGGGGATTCATGGTCTTCTTGCTGCCCTCTAACTCCATTACAAATTCAAGACACACAAACCACATTCAGTGGAAGCTTTGTGAACTGCTAACAAAGGCATACTTGATTAGGCTTTCTGGAATGGGTAACCATATCAACTTGTCCTCCTCCCAGAGGAGAGGTAACATCAACCAACAAGGCTTGCTTTCTCAGTGTACATCTGGGGGCTCATGACCTATTGCCACCTCCCACAGTGTAGTTTCTCAGACAAACCTCTCAGTTCTTTAGATGAGTACTGAACAGAGCAAAACCAACTTCCTCTATATGCATACTACTTTCTGAACTGCAAAAACCTTTATGGATTTGGAGGTGTAATTCAATGGTACAATACTTGTCTGCCATGTCTAACATCCTAGGTTATATCCCCAGCACAACAAAACTCCACAACTAAACCCCACATTTTTATGTGCAAGTACTATATACCCTAGAGAAGTTACATTCAGTCGTTTAAACTTATAAATCAAGTGTGCTCGCTATAAGCTAGACATTGTGCTAGGAGTGGGGGCAGACAAGTTTTCATCTTTCCTCGAACTTGTGATCTAGAGAGAGGCAAACATTAACCAAGCAATCACACAACTGAAGACTATTTTATTAGAGCTTTAAAGGGGCCAGACTAACAGTGTAGGGAACTGAGCAAAAGTGCCAGGTAGCTGGGATCTGGAGGATGAGGAGTCAGTAGGAGTTAGCCAGGTACAAGATAACAGGTGGGGGGCTGGGAAGGTGGCTCAGTGGTAGAGCGCTTGCCTTGCATGCATGAGGCCCTGGGTTCGATTCCTCAGCACCACATAAGCAAAAA